GGAGTTGGTCTTGGATTCGGTGGAGCCCGCGGTGGCCTAGGGTTTCAGCCAGCGCAGAACGACAACGAGAGCGACGAGGACGCGAAGGCAACTGCAGCTCCAGCACGATCTTTCGCAAAGACAAAATTCGACGGCAAGAATATCCTCGGCCGCGGCTTCGTCCCATCGTCTGCGAACGTGCCGGTCCTGAACCCCGACCTCCAAGACACCCCCTCGATGCCAAAGATGGCCCGCCCAAGCGCATTTGGCGCAAAGGGAGCGAAAGGAAAGCCCAACCCAAAATCATTCGGTGCGCGGATGATGGCCAAGATGGGTTACCAAGAAGGAACGGGTCTCGGAAAAGAGGGACAAGGTCGAAGCGTCATCATCGAAGCTCACCTTAGACCACAGGGTGTCGGTCTAGGTGCAGTCAAAGAAAAATCAGAGCACGAGAAGAAGGAGGAAAAACGACAAGCGAAATTACGAGGCGAAGAAGTCGTCGATTCTGAGGAAGAGGAGAGGAAAAGGAAGCGAGAAAGAAAGAAGAAGGCCGTCAGCGCAGGCGGCAGCAGCAGCGTCAGCACCCCGAAACGACAGAAGCCCAAGTACATGACGGCGGAAGAGATCAAGAAGTCTGCCCCGGGACTCCACATCCCAGAGGCTTTCGCACCTATCTTGGATATGACAGGACCCGGGAACAAGCTTTTGACGACTGCCTCTGGACTCTTGACGCCGACTTCTGCCGCAGTTGTCGAATCTCCCGAGCTGGTGGCTGCGCGGAAGCTCGTGAAGCGAGCACATGCCGACCTAGCAGCCTTTTCGGAGGAGTGGAGAAACCTGGAAGAGCGAAAGACTTGGGTAGATCTGGAACTGCGCGAAAGAGAGCAGGAGATGGCGGAGCTCGCCTCAGACTTGGGAAGACTGCAACTGTTTTCCAATATTGTCACCAACGAGCTTCCGCTGGCTACTGAATGGGAGGACGTCATTCGCTGTCTAGAGAAGGCCGTCCAAAATATTGGACCAGCGACCGACGAAATCTCGGACCTCGCGGTGGCTGCCATCTACCCCTTCTTCCGCGATCCCGACTGGAATCTACTGGAGGAGCCCACACGATTTGCTACTGAGCTCAAGGGGCTTGGAAGTTTATTGATGAAGCCTGGTGAGGGCAACAAAGCCTTGGACAAGTGGGAATCCACTGGCCTGAACAGCAACGACTTATACCGGCAACATCAAAAAGCGACAACACCTTACGAAACCATGATGTACAAACTGTGGTACACAAGAGCCATGTCTGCCATCCGGGATTGGGATGTTTTCAACCCCACACCATTACTGGCTGTATTGGAGGCATGGGCAGACCTGCTGCCTCCCTTCATTCGCGCCCAGTTCCTCGATGCTGTCGTCCGCAAGTTGGAAACAGCCGTAGCGGAATGGAACCCGAAGAAGAAGCGACAAAGCCATAAACTGCCTCATCTGTGGCTATTCCCCTGGCTTCAGTACCTGCCCTCATACCACCTGGAGCCTAAGGGCACCGGCTTGGTTGCGGAAGTACGGAGGAAGTATAGACAGCTCATCGACGTCTGGGAGTTCGACCGCGGCGTGATCCCTGGCCTGGAACAGTGGCGCGATGTGCTTGGCGACCAATGGCGCTCCTTGATCATGAGCCATGTGTTGCCGGCCATGGGACGATACCTGCGCAAGAACTTCAGAGTAGACCCGAGCGACCAGGAGCCATACCTGCCTATGCTCACGGGCGTTCTCGAGTGGTCTGATATCTTGACGCCCAAGGTCCTGGGCGAGGTCATTGTCACAGAGGTGTTCCCCTTGTGGCATGAGAAGTTGAGTGAATGGCTTGGTCTGGAGGATGCCAATTTCGAGGAGATCATGGCGTGGTATGAGTGGTGGAGGGACGACGTCTTGCCCGACTCTGTGAAGAACTTGAAGTCGGTTCAAGCAGAGTTCATTAAGGGCATGGGCACTATTGAGAAGGCATTGTAGAACATAACGCTCGCATTGTAGCCGTAGCTTAAGCTTCAGGATCATCACATAGAAGGTATCCTTTGCAACGTCCGTCAGAAGGACCCTTTCTCACTTGATTGCAGTCAGCCGTGTGACGAAATGTTATGGTCTCAACTCATGCATTGCCGTATATGGAAACGCCCATCTTACCTGGTAGGTGAACCATCGATTTAGGTTGACCCCAGACACTGTTATTGTGACCATGCAAGAGAGCTTGATCTCGAAACCATTGTCAATCCTTCGATCGCGCTCTGCACGGATGTAGTCGACATGGCACATGCCATCTAAGCTTGATCCCACAGAACTCGTGCTGACATTTCCCCCGGGAACGACCCTTCGATACAAACCTAATGACCGGGGTCATAATCACATTTGAGGTTACCATTAGCTAAAAAGAACAAGCAGGCTCGAGGCCAAGCTTTTAGAGAAACAGGATAAGCAAGGAAGCATAGAGGTGGGACGCGGGTGTCGTTGCAGCCAAGCACCAGTCAAGCACAAGTCAAGCACGAGCCAAGCTCATGGTGAAGGTTCATCCGCTAGGCCACGGTCGTTGAGTAGAGAAAGACAAGACGTTTGATGGCTTCCTTGAGTTGTGATGGCTAGACTTGGCGGTCTATAGGTAGTTCCCTGCGGCACTTGAAGTTGGGGCATTTCCTTGGCGGTGTGACACGCGAGCCTGATCGTCAGTGAAGGTGGCAGAAATGCCCAGAGGTGTCAATGGTGATTAGAGGGAGAGCCTTGGCTATGGAGCGATGCTTCTGCGCGATTAGTCCTTGACGGAGATGCATGGTTGAGCTCAGGTATTATGGCATGTCCTCAGGGAAGAGTGTGAGCTTTTGTGACGGCCGTCGACCGAGCTCAAGAGGGGAAATGGCAGCTTCCGAAGGTTGTCGTTTGCTACGTATGGCCAGTGTCGGTCCACGCGTGATCTCCAATTCGACCAAGAGGGTGAGGTGAGCGCCTACTTCTGAAGTCGGTTTGAGACGAGACCCCCTGGACATGGAGATCTTGAGGGCCAATCATCTCTGATTATGTAAATGCCACCCGTTCATCGGAAAAGGAGGAGCTGAAGAAAAGCCAAAGAGCTAAAAGCAATCAAGGTTCGGGAAGTGGGAGCCTCATGCCTCCATGACCCCTACCACCCCTACCTCAAGACTACCACGTCTTCGACCCTGGCCACTTTCTTCTCTTCCAAGACCCAATTCCTCCATCCTCCTCTCCTCGAGCCCAGCTGCCCACGTCACCATTTCGAAACATCGACAGCCGTGAAACCTTGGGGGGGGGGGGCGCTCTAGCCAGCCTGGCTCTGACCTAGACCGACTGTCTTCGGATGAGCCCCAGTCTACACTAGCACAAGCCACTGGGATTCAGGAAATCCTCTTCGATGAATATTAGTTGACGGCGACATCGGACAAGCACTGCCCCTTTTCACCGTCCTGAACATGCGATGACTCGCCCATATAGGCCTTGCCAGATCTCGCTCCGCACGGCAGCGCGATATTCCGGGCCAGTACGGTTCCACGAGACCCGCAATACAGGACTTTTAACAGCGGCATGAGCCTATTGGGGTGTCTACTCCCGCGCCTCTAGTGTCTACGGAGTATTGACGAACTCAACGTCCGGTTCGACGGACTACTTCGGAAACGCGGAGGACAGCTATGAGAGAAACGAACGCCAAAGTCGATGGATTATGGCACCAGGCATATCTGGAATCCTCGACCAAGCGATCCTTCGGGGCTTGCGTGCATCAACTCACCACCCAAGCCCGAGCGACGAGTGAATATCTGATGATCATACTCCCATGATCCGACGTGATGATGTCCAGCAGAAGTTTCCGTACCAGACGATCAAGCCCCCAAACCAGGAAGGATACAGAGTATAGCTCTGGCCCCCAATAGCGCATAGAGCCAAGGCAAGACACGGCGGCAAGCATGCATGCGGCCATCACCAGTTTAGCCATCAATAGCACTGGGCCTACTCCGTACAATCTCAGTATGCCTTGGGGATAGAACCTCGTTCAGCAACATTTCCCGCTGAGCTCAGCGGCCGGCGAGCAAGACCCGATTGGGACTTCTAGGTGCATCTAGCTCTTGGTGCAAAGACAAGGCGCTAGCTAGACGTGCCAGCAGCATGGCGAAGCAAGATGTTGCTCAACGATGCTACCCGCCACCTGAGCCCAACATGCACCGATAATACTCGAGCATCGTTATGATCACCTTGAGTACGTCTTCCACAAACGCCACGGACCTGTCATCTGTAGTTCAGACCATCGTTGAGGCTCCACCAGCACGGGCCCCTACAACGTTGTGCGGCACTTGGCATCGTCTCATCGCCTCCCAAAACAGGGGCTGGCCGGGGTTCAGACTAGCCCCCGAATAGCTTCATTGGCGTCTCTCTCTCTGCGTTCTTTCCACCTGAAGTTACTTCTCAGGCTTCAACTTCACGTCTCTATTCTGTGGCGCTGCTAGCTGCCCTATCCTGCCACCCCCAGATCGCGCGGCACTTGCCATCACCCCCTTGTCTCGGTAACCACAAGGTATCCCGCGTCTTGAGACCGGCCAGGAGCGGCCTTCATTCCCGGCCGAGAATTCCTCACCCCATCCCCGTCTCAAAATACGGTTATTTCACTAGCGTGAGGCTGTATTGGTGAACTCCTACCGGTGCTATTGCACGCAACATGGATCGTGTTTGGGCCCAGTCCCGCCAAGTTGGCACTAGCTCGACCTACCCCGGCCAAGTCAACCTACCTTTGGGACATCTGACAAGCTGTCTAGGGGGTACATATCGATGACTTCCCGTCGGTCAACCCGTTTGGTGTTGAGGGATGATCTCGAGTCTTCTAGGGCTGACGTCTCGTGGGAGTTTGCTTACCTTTCGTCTGTCTTTTTCTCTTCATCTTGCCTTGACGGCACTCTACCTTCTTTTTTTGCCCAGGTGGCTTTGCTATTCTAATCTGGTTCTTTAGTCCAGAGGCAGGTCCCTGGTGTTTTGTTCTAATAATCATGTCTGAGCGATCGTGTCCTGTGTCTGGGTCTATGGGTGGTGGAAGATGTCCCGCAGGTGCACATGGGCAAACAGCGAATCGACGGGTTGGACCGCGAGGTTGTTCCTTCTCAGGTTATACCCAGCAAGGAGACCTTCATGCTGCTTTTGATGTAAGATGATGTCTCGATTATGGTCCTTGATTAAAGCTAACAACATCAGATACCACGAGGGGTAGACGTTGATGAGTGGCTGCGTGCTAGGTGAGACCTCCTTACTTTGTTGTTGAGGACAAACGACTTACAAGGAAAAGGGAGAGAAAAGCTATCAACGAGATCGTCTACTCGGATATCCCATCAGCGGACCACATCGCTCAAGTGAAGAACGTCGACACTCTCGTTGCGGATGACAGGGACCTACTCGCCGTTGCCCTGGGTGCGCCTGCTCGGCAAGTCATTCTTCGAGCCGAAGGAGTCGGATCCCAAAGTGGATGGAAGGACGGATACCTCAGCGCTGAATATGGCTTCAACGCACCCGACTCAAATGAAGCTGCCGGAGCCCTCGCCAACTGCCCTGGACGCGTCTGGTCCGATCTCTGCGAGAGGATGCCCGGTTGTGTCTCACGAGGACGCGTCAGAGAGTCTGTCGCTGCTCTTCCCCTCGTCGAAGGAACCGAGGAATATGTCCCGGATCAAGCCCTCTGGGCTGCTATCGTGGCCCTGGGCATGTTGTGCTCCATCTATCGCTACGAAGATAAGAACGATGGATACGACGGTGTCAGCATCAACTCGATCTCTACCAAGCCTCGCGTAGAAATGAGCGACGACCTCGGACCGGAACTGATAGGAATCCCGAGGACTATCGGGCTGCCATACTGGCAGGTCTCGCGACGTATGGGACGGGCTATTCCCCATCTTACTTTCTTCGACCAAGCATCCTACAACATCAAAGTGCGCGACCCGACTTCTGTCTACCCATATGTTGGCCGCTTCGACAATACCGATCTCCGTTGGCCCATGTTTGGAGAGCGTACCGAGATTGCTTTCTTGAAGGGCTGTGCCGACACCTCGGGTAAGTCAAGATACCATCACGATGAGACCCCAGACACTAACCTGATATGTGCGCAGCATCCTTCCAACACGGCCCAGATGCCATAGCCGCTTGCCAAGAGCACGTCATGAACCGGAACAACGAGGGCTTATTGAGGGAGATGATCAGACTCAAAGAAATCCTCGAAAGGATGCCCAACGCCTTCCACTCCATCTCAACCAACCCCAACTCGGGCGATAACTACGTCTCGGCGGCCGAGTGGGTGCGATGGGGCAAGTTTTCCGCGCCGCTGTCCAAGAGATGCCCAGCCGCTTCCGGTCTTCAATTCCCGCCGTATCTTCTCATGGACGCCTTCCTCGGCCGCAAGAAGTACGATTCCTTCCTAGGCAACGAGGGTTTGCACCTACGCGCATGGCTGCCGTCCAATCTGCGAGCTTTCATTGCCTCTGTCGAGTACCACTATCGGATTCCAGAGTATGTCAGGGGGTCTGGCGATCCACGACTCATGGGCGTCCTTGACGGGATCATCGAGGCGTACACGGGCGAGCGAGGGTTCATGGGCACGCATAGGTACAAGGTGTTTGGTATCCTGGAAGTAGCCTCCAAGACTGGCCGAACGGAAACGAACGGTGCCTCTGGCGCCTCTGATGATTCGGGAAGGCCATGGGAGGAAGTACACCGCCAATTCTCGGATGCCATGAAGGAACGCTTGGAGCCCTACCGCGGAAACATTCCCGTCGAACCCCATGAGATGCGTGGCACCTTTGAAGAGTGCCGGTACAAGTCGCGTATCCTCTCTCGATCTTTTGTCGACTCGGACCATGATCGGTCAATCTCTATGGTCACGCTTGATCTACACAACACTGGCATCACGTTCCAGCCGGGCGACAGACTCGCGATCATGCCCCTCAACAGCTGGGAGGAATGTGCCAAGGTAGCTGCGGCGCTCGGTTTGGACACGATGCTTGAAAGCCCTGTTCTTCTCGACCGCAAGTGGTCTCGGTTTGCCGAGCACTTGGAGACGGTCTCTAATCACGGCGTTGCGAGCACCTCCACGAAGACAAGGAAACTCATGGTCAAGGATATCCTCCGCCGAGGTCACCTGGCCCCGTTGACCCAGGATCTCGTCCTCAAGATCCACGCAATGCTGAGGGCCTCGTCAAACACCGTGCTCCAGGTGCTGGCGACTGAGGAGTGGCCGGTCCGTGGCTCACTGGGTGACCTTCTCCAGGCCGCTGTCATGGACACCCCGACGCACATCTGGGACCAAGCATTCGACCTCTCCAACGACGTGGCGTGGCTCAGTGATCTCATCTCGGTTGAGATCCCGCGCACATACTCCATATCCAACTACCCCGAAGAGCTACTCCCAAGCACAGTCGACCTCACAATCTCACGGGCAGAGTACAAACTCTGCGCCACGTTTGCGGGAAAGTCTGACATCTCACGATCGGGCGTAAGCAGTGGCTACCTCAACCCACCCGTTGGCTCACCAGATGACTTCATCGCCGACGAAGACGAACTGCTAGTCGGGATCTCCAGACCCATCGCCTTCCAGCTACCTCTTGATGGCGCCGCACCCTGCGCATTCTTCGCCGGCGGTAGTGGCATTGCCCCTTTTAGGAGCTTCTGGCAGGCTCGTGCTGGCCGCTCAGTCGGAAAGAACATGCTTTTCCTGGGTGTTCAGAACCGGGAAAAGTTCTGCTACGAGGATGAGCTCCGTCAATACGTCAATGCGGGGCTAATGGAGGTTCATCTCGCGTTTTCCCGTGATAGCCGCGGTCTTGCATACGACCCCATCATGAGAGACCTCATCGAGCGCCGTACCGAGCCACGATACATCGATTCGCTCATCGTAGAGCAGGGAGCTAGCGTGTGTGACTTGGTCATGTCCAAGAAGCAAGGCGGCCTTGGAGGGTATCTGTACATCTGCGGCTCCGTTGATGTCTTTGACTCCGTCATGAGCGGGCTGCGCAAGGCCATTTACAACCATCGGACGGCGACCATGGAGTCTACGGATCTAATCATCAACACCGCCTTCGCCGAGCGGCGGATCATGTTGGACGTCTTCATGACTCCGAAGCCGCTCCCCTGTAATCGACCAACCATCCCACTCTCACAGCTGTCTGTCCATACGGGACATAGACCTGGAGGAAGGATGTGGATTGCCGTCCACGGAAGTGTATACGACGTGACGGACTTTTCTCCTATGCATCCGGGAGGCACTTTAATAATGAGGTCGAATGCGGGCGTGGACTGCACGAAATCCTTTGACAATTTGGCACACACGAACAACCCAGAAGTGGCCAGCCTGCTCACGAAGTACTTCATCGGCCATCTGACCCCCAAGCCCGAGTATCATGACTGCGAGGAGATCAGCGGCCTGTATGACATGTGGTCGGCATACCTACGAACGACCGTCGAGACACTCGTCTCTCAGCAATTTGAGATGGACGACATTCTCGGCTCGTCGAAGCTCTGGTTCCAGGGCAGCCTCATCAATATGCTGGGTGTACGCATCTTCTACCAATACCAATCCCGCCTCCTCCAAGGAGGTTTCTCTGCCCTCTTTGGACCCAAGTTCCAAGAACTCGTCCTCAAACTCTCTTTCACGATGGCCAACGCCGCGTCCGTCGGATCCGATACCAAACTCCCCGACATCCTCGGCATCATCGCCAGGGCCAAAACCTCCACCGACGCCGTCACAACCTCCAAGGAGGTCTCGCGCATCGGCCAATTCATCTGCGACAGCGAGCCAGCTCGTCTCATGGAGCGCGGCATCATGGACTACGCCAACAAGTCAGTCCAGCTCGACATTGAGCTCCTCGAAGACATCC